ACTCTTATTAAAGATTGGAAAGAGATAAAGTTTGATTCCAGGTACAATTGGAAAAAACAAAACACAAACCAGAAATCTAATGAATATTTACACAACAGAGACTTACAGGATGAGGTCAAAGGGATTCTGGAACGAGACAAGTTAAAGTACCTTTTATCCCAAAGAGACATTGCTCTCGTCATTGCCAGCAAACCATCAGTGTGGGGGAGCCCAAAGTGCCTTCATCAGGAAATATTGCAGCATGATCTAGCAATTGATTATCCTGTTAGGTTGACATCTGGCCCTCAACCCCATCCACGGCTACTGGGTAAGTCTGACTCATAGCAACCCTGTAGGACAGAGTAGAACTGCTGTCTGCCTCATCTTCCTCCTGAGGAGCTACTGGTTGAGGCTCTTCACGAGCCCATTGCTGAACCCACTGCTTGACTAGGGCTCCCGCTGGCCATTACGTAGGCCGAGCCCAGCAGGGAGAAGGAAAAGCCCTCTCAAAAGAGGTCCTGAGATTTCTTCATATCTTGCTCTCAGAACACAGTTCAAGGTCCATGTTCTCCCAAACTTGTGTCTGTCTCTCTGTGGGTGTGTTTCTGAGCATAGGTGGACACATCCCCAGTCTGGAGATACTGACAAAGGGGAGTGTTTGGGATTCCTGGTTGTGAGTTTCTCAAACTTAACCATGGAGTAACTGCATACTTTTTGATTCATGTGTTTTCTTGAAAAAGAAGAGAATGGCTAGGAGGAGAAGCTACACCTCGAGCTCTGTTACCCAGGCGTCAGTGGGAGGAGGACTTTGGTACAGGATTCCAAGGGGGTCTGAGAGCTGAGGCTGCGGAGGGCAGGATTAGGGCCCGGTACTGAAAACGACTGGTAGATAAATAAATAATACACTTTTGGTTCAGGGCTTACAGGGCTCGAAAATATTTATGTGGCAATGAATAATGAAGGTGCTAAGGACGAAGAAGAACACAGCTGTGCGTATGAAGTAGAATAGCAAAAACAGGTAAACTTTAAAACAAATGTGTTTGTATATTTGCCAGCAGAGTGAGCCTGGCTCAAAGTAATTACTCTTTGGCAATTTCAATTAAAAAGCAATTCATTCCTTCAATGGTCTAGGGGGCTTCAATAAGTTCATGGAAAAATTCCCTTCTTTTAATTCCATCTTTCCATGTACTTTTTGAATCCCCCTCAAATTGGCCCATCTATGCCCCCTGTTTACCTAATATTCCAATTCTTAGAGAAAATAAGCATACCACATCACAACTACATTGTGAGGAAATCTTTTTGTCATAGTTAGCTAGATGAGTGTTGCATTCTGGAATCTCACTTTTCACAAATGTTAAATGCAACTTTAAAATAAATAATAAAATATATTTGTAATTATTAAAAACATTTAAAATATCCTTTAAATATTTTAAATTAAAAAATTTTTAATTAAAAATTAAAATATCTATTTAAAACAAAAATATTTTAAAACATTTAAAAAACAAGATTAAAAATGTGTTTTTTATCAGATGCTTTTGTTAAATCAGTGTAACACTTTTTCCTTTTCCATAGCTCATGTCAACAATGCCACTGTAAAAATAAGGAAACATTATGTGGTGTATGGAATATTTCATTCAATTAGTTTGGGATCATAGGGTCCAAAATAGAAACTCAACTATAACCATTCTTTAAATTCTCCCCTAGTCTCTGGAGAAGAACACCATGGGAGTTACGTCTGCAGTTCATTTTCATAGGAAAAATATAACATACCCACCCACAGCCATTGAGTTGATTCTGACGCAAGGGGACCCTGTATAGAATTTCCAGGGCTGTAAATCTTTATGGAAGCAGATGGCTTTACCTTCTTCCAAAAAATGACTGAGGGGTCTAAACACCCGACCTGGTGGCTAGAACTCAAGGAAAAATCAAGAGACATTTTATGGATTGACATGGTCAGTAGTTGGAATTAGAGATCAAACTGGATTACTTTTAGGACTGCAGGGCCGGTGAATGATTTAATGCGGGCCTTTTAGCCAAAGTCTCTAACTCTCACCAAACAACTTTTTCCTGCATGGTATTCATAAGAAGGCGAGGGAAGACATTGATAGGATTCACTTGTGAGTGTGAACAGGATTCCCTGTAATGCCATCCCACAGCTATAAAACAATCCCGCTCAGAAGCAGGAAGAGGGATCTCTGCCAGTAAGAGCCAGGAGTGGGGGGTGTCCTCTGGACCACTGATCCCTGCGCAGAGAATTCCTGGAGCATTAGAGGAGTAGCCAAAGAACCAGGAGCCAGGTGTGGAACAGTGATGGACTTCCCAAACCAGAGAGCAAGGAAAGCTGAGTGCTTTTGTGCAGGAGGCTGGCTTGTGGAGTAGAGGGCATCTGGGCATTTAATTGTGTGGCCACTGCAATGGATATTAGAAACTAGAGAGGTAAAATAGAGCATAATTGAAAACAACACAAGGAGGAACATGAGAAGCATCTTAAAAAATGGATGTTTCATCTTGGTAATAGGTATATCAGTTATATTGTTAAATGCTGAACATTAATTAAATCGTGCTCATAGGTGTTGCATATAGCTAATGTGCTCTACTGCTAACCAGGTTAGAAATTCATGTCCAAACAGGCTAGGAGAAACCTGATCACCACCACATCAACATGCATACTTCCATATGGGGACTTGTTAGACTAATCTCACACTTTAAAATACTATTTACAACAACTAGAACTATAAAGTAGAGAAGCAGCTCAGGTAAGCTGGTCTACTAAGATTGAAGGTCTGACCCATCAAAAAGATAAGTCTAAGAATCTCAGGCAAATGGAGAATGGCAAAAGCTAGTAAGCTTACTAGGTCATCAGTTCTAACCCACTAGTCACTCCTCAAGACAAAGATGAGACTCTGCTCCCATAGAATTACAGCCTCAGAACCCACAGGGACAGTTCTACCCTGTCCTCTAGGCTAGGTATGAGTCAGCCTCTACTGGATGGCAGTGTGAAGACTAAGACAAGTGTATTACAGGAGTTGTCTGCAGTCATCCACTGATGAGGGACAGGTTTAGATGTTTTGTTTGGGAGAAACCTGTGTATGTATCAACTGCAATCCTAGTAGCAATATGACAGGGCTTAAAACAGTTCATGGAAAACTAGAATGAAGGATAATAGCATTTTCCCACTGAGATAGTTTATTGTGCCAGCCTGGCCGATAAACACAAGTGGGATTAACTGAAGGGCAGAGAGATAAATGGCTCAGTGAGCCTCGCCTGTCTTGTCTCTCACTCTTTGATCATCGGACCAGTGTGCGGCTGCCTTGCTTGTTCTGTGCCTCAATTTACAGGCTACACTACCTGTGGGACGCCTAGCCTGTGGACTGTGTCGCTG